TAGTTAATCTGTTATAGTTAAGTCTTCTAAAATTTACCTCCTGGCCAAGTTGCCATGCTTTCCCTGGGGCACAGGAAGTAGAGGGTTAAGAGACATCAATGTTATACTAATTAAGGTCATTCCTTACAGAGACATTGAAAGTGGAAAATGTACTCCAGCTTTGATAAAGTTGTTTCATTTTAAATTCATTAGGTTTAATCATTAGCCTGTGGTGTGTGTCCCTCGAAAGAGAACCATTAGGGAAACCTTGCTCCTACCTTACCAGAGGATATTATATCAGCAACTGATGGTTGGTTATCTTTCAGGAACCACTGATGTGAAAGATGGATATTTTCTCCTGAAGGCTGGGATGTAGGATAATAACACATCATTAAATAAATCCAGGACTACTGTACTCGAAGGCTGAAATCTTACTACTCACAGGTATAGGTTACAAACGGTTTATACTCCAAAGCTTGGTCTTCAGTTTGGTGAGGGTGAGAGAGAGTCTTTAAAAGGTGGGAGTAGTTCAAGGTAATTAGGTCATGGGCATTGCCTTAGGAAGAGATTAAAGTAGTTCTTACAGGACCCTGATTAGTTCTCAGCAGATCGTGTCTTTATACAGTGAGCGGCTTCTCTGCCATGTAGTAATGGAAGTGGGGGAGATAGGGCTGCCAGAGGTCAAATAGATAGGACTTCCAGATCCAAAACCTGAAGAAGGTCCTTAGCCTCTAGTATGTGTTATAGAGAGAAGCAGACTTATGTATCATAGTCTTCAATTTTAAAATCCTTTTTTAATTTTTTTAAGATTTATTTATTTATTTTATGTATGTGAGTACACTGTCTTCAGACACACCAGAAGAGAACATCGGATCCCCATTACAGATGGTTGTGAGCCACCATGTGGTTGCCGGGAATTGAACTCAGGACCTCTGGAAGAGCAGTCAGTGCTCTTAACTACTGAGCCATCTCTCCAGCACTTAAAATTTCTTTGTTATGCTATGTAAAACAGCTCATCAGGGAGTCTGCCATTCCTGTAACTATAGTAACTACAAGACTAGAGGAACCAAAAGTAAAGTCCCAACGGTCCCCTAAAGGCTCCAGGCTAGAGCTAGAATGTCTAGGAACTCAAATCATGTCTAAGACATTGAATATGCTGTGATTAACACAAGATGTTAAATGCTAATTTATGGTGTGTGATAATGGCATCATTTTTAAATCTTTATCCATTAGAGGTTCATCCTGAAGTACTTAAGGCTAAAATATTATGCTGTGTGAAACTGTTTGGAACTGTTACAGCAAACATAAATCTACCTTGTGACTAGAGTACATGGGTGCTGCACTGTAGATTAGTTCTAAGGACTCAGGACTCCAATGACCTAGGAAACTTAGGACAGTGATATCTGAGCACTGTAAGATGCGCTGGGATTTTCTGGGTCATCAAGGAAGGAAATACTAGTTTTAAATGTTTTACTGATTCTTTTTGAAGCTCACATCGTGCATCCCAACCCCACTCATCTTCCCGTCTCTTCATTTCTCCCCTCTGCCCTTGCAACCTCCTCCCCAAGAAAATAAAATAATTAAAAATAAAATCTTGCTGTGGAAGCTTCATGTGTCATTGTGAGTTCTACACTCTACCCTTTTGTCCACACATCTTTACTTGCAAATGTTCATTGCAATGAGCCATTTGGTCTGGTTCAGGGCCTCTGGCTTCTGCTACACTATCAATACTGGCTCCTCACTGGGGCTTCTCTCAGATATCCTGTTGTTGTCCTGTGTCAGGGACATCCTGTAGCTTTGGATCTGCAGGACCAGCCAGTTCACATACTCCAGTAGTTCATAGATGAGGTAGATGATAGGGCAGGCCAACTCAAAAGCCCTGGATCTGGGCTTGGGTAGTAGCTGAATTGCCCAGCCTGCAAATTCTCCTGCACCCATACCAACAAGGAGCTCTTCAGCACTGCCTGGGCCAGTCTCCCAAGTGCTACAGTCAGCAAAGGGAGGGGCTGGCTCACTCATGCCTTTGCCACCAGAATCAGCTAGGAAATACTTTAGGTTAGGAAGAGATCTTAGGGTTCCAGATCCAAGATGTTTAGAAAAGCACTTTAAAATAGTTAGGAAACAGCTTGAGAAGAAATTCTGCAGAAGCTGCATAAACTCATTGAAAATATTTTAGGTTCAAATATTACATTCAGCTTTTTTATCACCATCACCACCACCACCACCACCACCACCACCACCACCACCACCATCATCATCATCATCACCAGCAGCAGCACATTTGGTCTTTGTTGTGGTTTGCTTGTTTGTAGCAAGAGTCTTGCTATGTACGCTAAGCTAATCTTGAGCTCATCAGTGTCCTATTTCAGTCTCCCTAGTACTGGGATTACAAGTATTTAATAAAGTACTAACATCCCAGCAAAAGGGACATTAGTCTTTATTATAGAGTTAACAACATAAGAGTTGCTGGATCATGCTATTTCAAACATATTTTTTTTAATTAACCACCTTGACCATAAAGTAACTTTCAGTCAACTTCCCAAACATCGTTTAAGGCAAGACTCCAAAACTGTCTTCAGTCAGAAACCTTATCTAACCCACAGTTTTCTTAAGAGGACACTGTTCAGCCAGTCGATGGGGTCACTGGCATCAGCATAGTTTCACATCGAATAATTTTCATCTCTTTGACTAGAAGGAGGAATCTCATTGCAGGTCTTAGCACAGGGCTTAGAATGTAATAGGATTCATCACATAAGACACTCTCCAAACACAGGATATCAGGTGTGGACTGCCAAAAAGTTAATACACTTAGTTCAGATATCAACATACTTTTCGATTATTAACTCAGTTTCAACATTTAAAGGGGAAAAAGAAAAGGGAAGTAAAGGAAGAAAGAAAAGAAATGGGAGGGGAAGAGAAGAGAGGAGTGGGAGAGGGGAAAAGGAAGGGAGGGGAGGTGAAGGGAGGGGAGAAGAAGGGAGGGGAGTACACAGCCTGTTTTTCTAGTCCTCCTGGAACATTATTAAAAATAAATGCCTCCAGAACCAAAAGTTGGGAGGCTTTAATGATATCGAAATTCACCATTTCTTTTCAAACTTGGTTTCATTTTGTCCATTTCAGTTAAGAATTCCATAGACGACCATAAATAAAACGGATCTTTGAGTGGACTTGAACTTTGTACTAAGCATGAACTTTGTAACCCTAGCATGACTAGGGTTCTTTGATTGGGAGCCAGTCTGAGAAAAGATAGGCAAACACGAGATGTTTAAAGATTTACAAATCTAAGGAGGCAAAGCTGCAGGAGAAAAACCACAGGAGTACACAGACAGTAACAAGCACTCAGAAGTGTGACATCTATCCAGCTAATATCATCCACTTATTTTTAAAGCAGAAGTAGTCGGCCCAAGCATAGAGCAGGTCACAGGCGGCAGCTCCGTATCCAACCCCAGAAAACCGAGAGAAAGAGGGACTCCCAGGAGCTTTAACTCAGGCAGCATCCCAGGTAAAAATGAATCCCCCGTGATGTCTGCTGTTAGAAGTTCTAATCCAGATGCTGGCCTCCAAATTTATACTACTCAGACCTTTGAAGGGCCACTGACAAGAACATCAAACAGCTAAAGATTGACATCACTAATCTGAAGAAATCCCTCGTTTCGCCGTCTGAAGAGACCTCCTAAAATCGCAAAGATCCTTACTGGACTTGATTTACTCTAGTACAATAGAAAAGGCTGTGTACAGCTCTTGACTGTGTACAACCCTCAAAGAAGGTTGCCTTTACATAGGCAAGACAAGGAGGGTTAAAGAGAGCATGAAATAGGTAGTGAAGGCCCTAAGAAAAATCAGAGAGAGAAAGAGACAGATGAATGCTGGTACAAGAATTGGTTTTCAGCCTCTCCAAGGTTGTCAACCCTATTCCTTCTATCTTGGGACCATTATTTGGGTTCTTTTTGCTTTTTTCTGCTGGTCCCTGGCCCTCAAATAGGCGGACTAACTCTGTGATACAACAGATAAATAATTTGGTAGCAAAACCTACTCAGATACATTATCATAAGTTAGCTATGGAGGACCACGAGACTCAAGATGAGGTTGTTACTTTATACAGGGTGTTTCCAAAACCCATCTCCACCCAACCTAAAAGGGGGGACTTCTGCCCCTAGACCAAGCAGAGAGGGGCCATCCAGAACCCCCTCTGACAGGCAATCTGAATTCTTGCTTAGGCTTCGAGGCTAAGCACTGCAAGGGAATATCAATAAAAGATAAAAATATCTATCTGGGTTCCCTGAGGGACAAGCCTGACTGCATAGGGGTTGATGTCAAAAGTATCCCCTCTCCAGGAAAAAGACATCGGGACGGGTATGGCCCTCATGCCTCACGGGACTGGAGCCATTACAAGGTCCCCTTCAAATACTGGAGGTCAGGCCTCTATCCCCGCCTTCGAAAGTTTAGAATTGCCACAGCCCTACTATACTTAGAGAAGGGAGGAGATGTCAGGGGCAGCCCTGCTTACACACTGTAGGCCTAAAATCAGCCATAGGCCTAAAATCAGCAATAGGCCTGTCATACATGTATACTAACACCAAGTCTTGGGTCTCAGTGGAAAAACATTGAAACAGATGGCTATAAGCTAATGTAAACAGGCAGCTTTTGTGGAAATTTATAAGCCTGAGTAGTCATAAACCTTGTAAATAGGTAGCCTTGGCAGACAATACCAACTTAGATAAGGACAATCAAGTCATAGGCAGAGTCATAGTGAATTGTTCCCTGAATCTTCACCCAGCCGATACCCAGTTCTAAAGATATCTGTATTCCCCCTGAACACCCACACTCCAGTGTCATTCCCTTCCCCACATCCTGCCTTTCTGTGTTTATAACCCCTGTGTGAATTAATTACGATTTGAGAAAAAGTTAAAAAAAATAAATTAATTTAAAAAAAAAGCAGAAGTAGTCTGGCCTTCTGTTTGGTTGATCTATTAGCCTGTTGTGACCACTAAAACGCATGCAGTCCCTTAAAACAACATCTGTTCAAGAGTTAAGAACTTCAAAGTTTATTTCAATGGGCTGAAATTAAGGTGTTGGCTGGCCCATGCTTCTGAAGATTCATTTTTTTTCTTGCTTTTCCCCTAGAAATTCCTGCATTCCTTACTTTGTGGCTTCCGCCTTCCATCTTCATGGCAGCAATGCACGCAGTCTCCCACGAGTCTCTGCTTCCACCATCACATCCCGGTCTCCCCTTCATTGCTTCCAATGTCAGTGTCTTCTGAGACTCTGGCCCTCTTCCTCTCTGATCCTTGTGATTTCTTCAATCCTGTCTGAACAACCCAGGATAATTTTCTCCACATCACAATCTTCAGCACATTGGCACTGTCCCTTTAACCATGAAATGTAGTGTGAAGCAGCTCCCAGGGTTAGGACATTAGCAACTTCCAAGAGCCACCATGTGTTTCCCACGTTCAGTAGATGAACTGCGTGGAAAGCTATCTGGATCTATGAAAAAAAACTGATCTTTATTTTACTGAAGAATATGAAGTCTTCATTAAAAAATTAAATGATTTGTAAAAGTCCTAAAGTACTGTTAGTAGCCCACAAAACAAAACAAAAAAACCACACTTCACTGAGTGGTGCAATCAGCTTCTGAAGACCTCAATAAAATGGGAACATACTGTACTGTAAAGTGCTGACCATCTGTAGCTAATTCTGACCTGTTTGTTGAACTACAACGTCCATATTTTTCTTATACTCCCTCTAGCCTGTCCCACCACTAAAAGCTTCTTCATGGTGTGAACTCGTTGGAAGGGGCTAATGGACATAGCATGGGTAAAGACAAAACAACTAGAGTAACAGTGAGATTATATGTGGCGAATTATGTTGAACATTTTAAAATACTATTTTATTATCTCCCTGAAATATCCTTACACATGTACATACATGTCAATATGTGTGTATATTGTACAGTTTTTACAGCAGAGGCATCTGAATGTTGCTATTTGCCAGATTTTTGTTCAATTCTTTCCAATGCCTCTGTAAGGACAAGACAATAAGAACAACTTTTTAGTGAGAATGTCCAAGTTTTACAGGTGAAGGTTTTGCCTACTGGAATGGCTTTATCACATAGAACACTTTAGTTATACTAATATATTTGGCAGCTTGTATAACACCTTCCAGTACTGAGAGCTAGACACCGAGGACAGATACTTTCAGATTACCTCCAACTTGATTCCTTCAAGCCCTGTGCCCAAAGAATGTGTTGTCTTCAGCAGTAGGGTCTAGCTTCAAGCTCAAGATGGCAGTTAAAGAAAATAGCAATAACCTATATTGTTTGAGGAGTCTTGTAGACCCCAGCTTCCTTAGCCAACATCATCAAAGGAAGTTTCCCATGTCTAGCACTTAGATTTCTTTTTTTTGTAAGATGGTCTACTACCCTCTCCCTCTCCTTCCTTCCCTCCCTCCTGTGTTCTCTCTCTCTGTCTCTGTCTCTGTGTGTGTGTGTGCGCATGTGTGTGCGTGTGTGTGCTTATATATAATGTAGATTTTAAGTAAGTTCATGTTTCCCTGTGGCTTTTTAAATTTTTCCTTAGTGTATTATTTCCTTCCTCTCTTTCTGAATTCCCCTCCTTCCCCTCTACACAGTCTCCATCTACCCCCTTGTTTTCTCCTTTCATAACAATGGCTTGCCAGCAATATATCCCTGTCTTGGTTGGGTTTTATTGCTGTAAAGAGACACCATGACCATACAATGGGGCTGTGTGTGGTGCTTTGAATAGGTCTGGCCCCCATAGACTATATTTGAAGGCTTGGCTCACAGTGAATAGCATTATTAGGAGGTGTGGCCTTGTTCATGAAAGTCTCTGACTGTGGGGGATAAGCTTTGAGGACCACTATGCTTAAGCTCCACCCAGTGCGGACACTACTCTGCTCCTGGCTGCCTGTGGACAGTCTCCTCCTTGCTACACTCAGATCAAGATGTATATAACTCTGGGCTCCTCCAGCACCATGTCTGCCTGCACACTGCCATACTTCCATGATTATAATGATCTAAACCTCTGAAACTGTAAGCCAGGCCCAAGTAAATGTTTTCCTTTATAAGAGATACCTTGGTCATAGAGTCTCTTCACAGAAATAGAAACCCAAACTAAGGCAGAATTTGGTACCAGACACTTGAGTATTGCTCTGATAGGCTTGCCCATTTTTGGTGTGGAGGAGTGTGGACTTATAGAAATCAGTGGGATGCTGAACATGGGGCTTATTGGGCCATTCTAGTAGAAGCATGGAACACAGTAGAGCTGAGGGTGATCTGAACTGCTGGGGCCTGGCTCAAGAGGTTTCAGACAAGAATTTTAGTATGTGCCCTAATAACCATTCTTGTGATATTTTGGTGACAAATATGGCTTTCTGCCCTTGTCTGAAGAATCTGCCTGAGGCTAAAGAGATTTAGATTAATTGCATTAGCAAAGGAAATCTCAAAACGGTCAGGTATAAATTTTGTTGTATGATTACTAAAGTTCACTTTTAAGAAGAGCCTTTTGATGAAAAGGAGTAAGCAGAGGAAGGAAAAATACAAAATGTATATTCATATATTAAAGGAGTATCAGGAAGTGGAATGGAACTGAATCCTGCATTCAAGGGGATAAACAAATTATGGGAGTGGTGACTTCAGGGCAAGATCCCACCCAGCTAAGCTTATTGTTTAAGTGTTTGCAGTTGAACAAGGGATAGTTATATCTAAGCTTAATATGATTTGGTTACTGGTTTTATTTGGACTTAAGAAGATATGATTGTGTGTCAAATTGACAGGAATGGATTGCAATGGCTACTCTTGGTTGTAACTTGATTATATCTGGAATGAACTACAATCCAGAAATGGAGGGCACACAGATGATCCAGATTTTGAGGCTGGAAGAAACAGGCTTCTTGAGACATAGTGGCTATGTCTCAAAAGCTTAACTGCAGGTGTGGTGGTTTATGCCTTTAATCTCAGCACTCGTGAGACAGAGGCATATAGATCTCTAAATTCAAGGACAGTCTACAGAGCAAGTTCCAGGTCAGCCAAGCTTAAGCAATGAGGGAGTTAGAAAACAAAGCTGGTGATGATGTAAGAAAATAAGTGGGCCATGTTCCAGCCCCAGAAAGCAACTTTGGCCACATGACTCTAGCTTTAGAGTCAGGAATACAAGGAGTTATTGGGAAAACTGATACTGGTTAGCTGGAGCTAAGAAATTATCTGTCATTAAGAAGAGACCAGCATACATGTATACTAACACCAAGTCTTGGGTCTCAGTGTAAAAACATTGAAACAGATGGCTATAAGCTAATGTAAACAGCCAGCTTTTGTGGAAATTTATAAGTCTGAGTAGTCATAGACCTTGTAAATAGGTAGCCTGGGCAGACAATACCAACTTAGATAAGGACAAGCGAGTCATAGGCAGAGTCATAGTGAACTGTCCCCTGAACCTTCACCCAGCCGATACCCGGTTCTGATGATATCTGTATTCCCCCTGATCACCTACACTCCAGTGTTATTCCCTTCCCCACATCCTGCCTTTCTGTGTTTATAACCCCTGTGTGAATGAATTATGATTTGAGAAAAAATAAATTAAAAAAAAAAAAAGAAGAGACCAGCATCACTGAGGTGATATCTTCTGGGAAGTGTTTTCTAGGAGCATAAAGAAGCTATGTTTCAGAGATATGTTTCAGAGATATGTCAATGCTGTACTTAGTGCTACAGCTGTACTTGGTAATGTATAGAATCACTCAGGTGGTCCTGGTTTTGAAAGCATGAAGAGGTCGTGGAGAGCAGCTGAGGCTTGGCACTGTGAGAGGCCAGAAAAGGCCATTGGTGAAGGTACAGCCTCAGTTGGGGGTCGAAGGCCTAATATTGAAGTTATGTAAAGACACTGAGGCTTGGCACCATGAAGACAACCTACAAGAGGCTATTGGTGAATCCTAGTTGCAGTAGAAGACCCCATCGTACTGGAGATGCCAGTACCATGGGATGACAACCAATAACACCAGCAACAGTGGAGTGGAGTCAACCAGAGCCTAGAATTCTACAACAGAGGGCAGAGCTGGAGAAGTGACCCAAACCCTTTGGAAGGGCCCAAACAATCATGTGTGAATAGTTGCCTTAGATACACTACAATGTTAGAGATGCCAGAGCCATGAGATACTTGCCAAGGAAATCTACTAACAGGGAATAGACCAACACAAGAGAAAGAAGTGTGTTGCAGTCATCAAGCTGACAAAACACCACAGCCCCAAAAGCAAGTTGGGGAGGAAAGGTTTATTCAGTTTATGCGTCTACATTGCTGTTCATCACCAAAGGAAGTCAGGACAGGAACTCACACAGGACAGGAACCTGGAGGCAGGGGCTGATGCAAAAGCCATAGAGGGGTGGTGCTTACTGGCTTGATCCACATGGCTTGCTAGCTGCTTTCTTATAAAACCCAGGACTACCAGCCCAGGGATGGTACCACCCACAGTGAGCTGGGCCCTCCCCTATTGATCACTAATTGAGAAAATGCCTTACCTGGACCTCATGGAGGCATTTCCTAAACTAAAGTTCCTTTCTCTCTGTTGACTCTAGCTTATATCAAGTTGACACACAAAACCAGCCAGTAGACCTATGAAGAGGTTTTAGAAAAAGGGGTGGGGGCAAAGGGGAGTGCTGCATGATGCACAGAAGTCAGAGTAGAGGAGACAAAGGATGAGATGGACTTATCTTTCACTAGATCATCAGAAATGAGATTAGATGCTTTTCTAGCGATGCCTAACTTAGGCATTCTCTTTCTCATTTACATCAACTGTATTGCTTATTTCAGCACCTGTTGTTTGTTTGTTTGTCTGTTTGTTTTTATTTTACCCACAAGAAAGAAAAGATCTTTCTCTCTTGTTCCTGGTACTCAGAACAATATCTAACATGTTGTGATAAATGTTGTAGTACAAACCTAACTCCCCAGAAATATCTTGAAACACCTGTTGTAAAACATGTATTATAAAACATATTTATCCAAATTTTCATGTACCCGATATTATAAATGAAGATTATCATCTTAAGACTTATTAGGGAGAGAAGTATCACTCAAAACATGACCTAACACTTGCCAGAAGCAGCAACACATGAAAACTTGTTCAAAATTCAAATTCTAGACCCCATCCAAGGCCCACTAAATTATTGCCTTAACAAATCAAGTGATTCTTATTTATCCTAAAATTTAAGAAGTACTAATAAAAATAATGCAGGGGCACTTCAATTCAAAATTCTTCAGACCTTCAAAGGAATTAATAATGCTAACATTGATGTTAACATACTTAAAGATTGATTTACAGGGAAATTTTATTTTAATGGGAACTGGAAACTGATGTAAACACAAAACAAAAGGACACACAGAAAAGAAGTCACTTTGTGTCAGTCACTTTTCATCACTGTGCCAAGATACCCAAAATAAATTTAAAGGATAAAATAATTATTTTGTCCGGACACGGTGATATATGCCTCTAATCCCAGCACTTGAGAGGTAGAGGCAGGCAGACATCTGTGAGTTTGGTCTGCATAGTGAGTTAGGGAACGCCAACACTATGTAAAGAGACCCTGACTCAAAACCAACCAACCAACCAACCAACCAACCAACCAACAAAAACAATAAACAACGTTATTTTGGTTTACAGTTTTAGAAATTTCAGTCCATTGCTTCTGCCTGTGGTGAGGTACAGCATCATGGTAGAGAGTGTATGGTACTGCAAAGTTGTCCAGGAAGCACAGAGAGATAAAAAGAAGATATATCCTTCAATGGCATACTCCTTCAATGACCTGCTTCCCTGAACCAGTTTTCAGTTTCTAACAGCCATTTCAGATATGACATTCTGAATGTAATGGTAATGGTCAAATCAACTCTCAGTCACTCCACCTCTGAATGCTGCTGCACGGCAAAATCAAGTGTTCAGCACATGAGCTTCATTAGGAGGGAGGAGTATTTTATTTCCAAACTGCAGTATGTAATAGCTCCACCATTACAGCTTATCTGACATGTGCCAACGTGTCTGCAGGCTTCGGAGAGCATCCTACTCAATACTTATATAAGCTACAGTCTGCAGTGTAGCAAAGTGAACACTGCGTGCAAAAATATGACAACTTAGTAACAGCATGTATATTCCAAAAGTAGATGGCCCAGAGAAGACATTAAGTACAATACAGAAATTGTTGTAAGTAATCAGAGCTTAGCTCTCTCAACTAACTTTGGATAAGTCAATTTCTTTACACTTCATTTTACACTGCAGTTAATAGAAATAACCTCAGGCCAACTATAAAGTCTGGACTGTTGTTGCTTTAAAAATTAAACCTTCAGTTATTTCTGGCACAGGTTCAGTGAAATCAGAAACATAAATCACCTGAGATTCTGCATCACAGATGTCTTATCTAAGAATTAAAAGAAATCCTGCATCAATGCATTCTGTCATGTAAGTCTATGGATGGATCTAAGAAGGATGGAAAAGATACCCAGAAAGATGCCCTTGATAGGTCAACAGTCCTTTTAACAGCATTACTGGCAGGAAATTTACACACATAAAACTGACACCAGTTTGTACCTATCATATGATCACTGTAACATAATCACTTATTTTTATGTATTTATGTCTCCAAACTCTAGTGATCACTTATTAATACTGACCACACTGAATTGCTGAGGGTTTAAAAATTAGTTCATAAAAAACTCTTAGCACAGTGAATACCTTTTACTATATTCATTAAATGTTACCTATTGGCTATGGAAAGTAGAACTGATAAAGAAGGGGAATGAAGATATTTAGCAGTTTACACTCCACAGCTAGTTGGATGTTGGTTCAGTAGTTAGGACCACTAACTGCTCTTCCAGAGGATCTAGAATTGATTCTCAGCACCCACATGGTGGCCCAGACACATTTGTGGCTCGGGTCTCAGGAGATTCAGTGTCCTCTTCCAGAGTCCGGGGCACCAGCCTACTAATATACAAAAAGACTACCACTGAGGTACTGAATACAAGAGCAAAGCTTTTCCATGTGTGAGTGATAATTATTATGCTTTTTCTAAGTTCCAAGCTTCTTCTGGCTATAAGACTGCCATATTGGCTACAGCATTTTTGGGGACAGAAATACACTGATTGCCTACAATGTACCAAGCGTTGAAGATATGATCTTGAAGTTTGTAGTAAATTGGAAATACCTCTGTAACGGTCGCATTATCGTAAATAGCAGCGTATATGAAGCTGAATACTAACACTAAAGACAACTGAGAGTCAACTTTCCTGTGTTTATGAATCAGGAAAGGAAAGCAAATGGTGGTGGATGAAAGGAAAAGTGGGCAGATGTAGAGAAAAAAAAAAATAAAGGACCGCCGAGGAGAGGAAAAACTCGTTTACCAAAATGACAAAGAACAGAGAGCGAATAAAATTCAGGCAGAATACTGGAAACGCTCTATGTGCTCCCAGCAATCTCGCTGGCTATAAACTACCTACCCACCAAGCTGCCTCCAAAACTCTCACACCCAAGATCCACGGAAAGCGGTCTAAGGGTCCCAACTTCCGGGACGGGCGCGGCGCGGTGTTGTGACGTCACTACAGACGGGACTTCCGGGTCTGGTGAAGCTTTGCCAAGACGTCCACGGACAGCTCAGATACCTTGTGGGTGGGCAGGTGAGATCATGTTGCCGGTGCTGTGTGTGGTTTGTTTGAGGAAGGGAACGCGGGCTACACGTGGGGCGGTACCAGGATAATGGAGCTGCCATCACCCCGGGTGCACAGCCGCCAGAAGCTCCCTGGGAAAGGATAAGCCTGTGCGCTGGCAGCCAGCCTGCTAGAAATGAATCAAAGTCTGCGCTGAGGCTCTCCAGGCATCAGTGGTCGACACTGTCCCTCGTGGAGTCTCCTAAGAAATCTGCTGACATTAAAATTACCTTTACCCTTGCAGGTGATGTGTTGTTTCTCTGCCTTTAACATTTTTTTCTTTATTTTTAGTTTTCCAAAATGCATGGCTTGTTATAGTCTACATTTTTCCAGCTTGAGAGTTGCTCAGCTTCTTGAATCTCTGTAGATTTATGTCCTTCTCAAATTTGAGAAGTTTCCAGATATACTTTCTTTTGTTTGTTTGTTTGTTTGTTTGTTTTTCGACACAGGGTTTCTCTGTGTAGCCCGGGCTGTCCTGGAACTCACTCTGTAGACCAGGCTGGCCTCGAACTCAGAAATCCGCCTGCCTCTGCCTCCCAAGTGCTGGGATTAAAGGCGTGCGCCACCACTGCCCAGCCAGATACACTTTCTTTAAACGTGTGTTTTAGCCCCACGTTGTCTTCTCTGAAACTGATTGCATGAATTTTAGGTCATTTGTCATTGTAGTACAAGTCTCCGGGCTATTGCTGAGTGTTTAGACGATTTCCCACTGATTCAGGTTTGTAAATTTTGTGGATCTATCCAAGTTCTCTCATCACGTTCTTTGTTGATTCTACTCTGCCGTTGATCCACCCCATAAGTTTTGTTCATTCAATTATTATTTTTAAACTCCTTGCTCTTGTTTCTGAGATAATATTTATGGTAGCTTCTGACCTTTAGTGTGCTCTTACCTTTTTGCTGGGTTCTGCTGTCTTCTTAGAATATTTTAATCAAGCCCTTTCTTACTTTGGGAAACTATTACGTTCCTGGCACCTTCAGCATTTTCCTGAACTACTTTGATGAAGTTGGGATGTTAGTAGGAGAGACTGGTAAGATTATCATGGGCAAAATGTCAGGTCACTTTCTGAAACATTGTATGGTATGCCTGTGCCATAAAGGTTCAATATGCTTATCAGTGTCTTGTGAGCTTACAATTTGTGACTAATGAGGTGAGGTCCTAAGAGGTGAGACAACTTTATTCTGATCCTCAGGAGGCACTTGGGTTTGGAAAGCAGCCTACATGTACTGCAAGAACCTATTACAATTGACCATGTGAAATGATTAAATAGGGATTATATGTTCCACCCATTCTTGTATTAGAGCATTCATTGTGAAATTTATCAATAAAAGTACTTCCAGATGAACCCTGTCCCAGTGAACAAGTTATAGAGTTTTCATAGTTAACTCTACTTTGAATTGTTCCAAGACTGGCTTTGCCCTTCATAAGTTTCTAACCCACATACTCTGTGAGGATATAACTTACCATCTTCAGGCATTAAATTTTATGATGATGTGCCTTGTAGCAAGAATAAATCAAATACCCTGTATTTTCTAGAAACTTTTTTTAAACTGTAAGAGCTGTCGGTGCATGCCTCTTGGAAGATAATTCTGGAATTACTAGTTTCCCAAATCCTTAACCTAGGTTAAGGAACTAGCAATATAATAGATGCAAATAGTCAAGGAACAAGCAAGACAATAAACACAAATGTTCTCAGCACCCAGGTATCCAATTGACTAGAAGTGTCTCCTTGAAAAGGATGGTGTCATCTAAAGGGTTACAAAGCCTAGTGTGAACTCAGCTTTTACAGTGACCATAGTTCTTATGTCTCTTCAGGAACTGCCCCTTACTTTCAACACTTTTGCGTTTAATTTCCTCTTAGAAGAGTTAGGGCAAAATGAAACTCCTTTGACCTTAGGACACTTAACGTTCTCTTCCATAAAGACAACTCTCTGGTTGCCAAAAAGCTCTGTGGTTCTTCAGGGCCCATTGTATTTGTTCATTTATTTGACTAATGCATCCTTTTCTAAAAGCTGATATTACACATGTGGGAAAAAAAAGACATGGTTCAGCCCACAAGATGCTCAAAATGACTTTCAAGCACATGCTCATGTACATGAACATGTGTGTGAATATGAAGCTGTGATGTAAGTTATATGTAAATACTGTGGTCTGTGGGTATGTTAAGAACAAGTAGATGAGTGAATGGAGGGCATCTCTCTCAAGGAAAAGAGACATGAGAATGGAGCCTTCAAGGTTGATGAGGCTTGTTGGCTTGCTTGTTTGCATGTGGTTATGTTTGTTTGGCTGCATGTTGTAAGAGCTGTCAGTACATGCCTCTTGGAAGATAATTCTGGAATTACTAGTTTCCCAAATCCTCCTTAACCTGATATTCAGGGCTGTCAGTCTGGAGTAGGAGAATTCCAGCACTGGTCTAAAATTGTGTGTGTGTGTGTTTGTTTCTATGTGTGTATGTTTCTGCAAATCTGTCTCTTGTGATCAGCAGTACACTTTATACAGTTTTTTGTTTTGTATTGTTTTTGAGACAGATCTTCTGTAAGCCACACTGACCTGGAACTCTTGATCTTTCTCCTGCCTCCCCCAGTGCTAGGAAAATAGGCATTAACCTTAGCTGGGTGTTTGGTTTTGGGGAGTTTGTTTTTGTTTGTTTTTGAGACAGTTTTATGTACCAAGTAGCCCTGGCTAGTCTCACACTCACAACATTCCTGCCTCGGCCTCCTGAATCCCGGGATTACGGGCATGCACCAACATACCCAGATGATAGTTTCCATGTTGGTATTCTTTGACTCTTAGAAAACCTTTATGGTTATTAGCAGTCTGGATATGGCTCTTCTCTTTATAAAGCCTTTCTGGTATTTTGACTGTATTTTAGTTGGCTTGTCTCTCTTGTAGAAGTTCTTTACGTATTCTGGATATGTGCATGTTGGTGAAATCTATTTTGTATGTAAGATGCTACACACAAAAAGTATGAACTGAAGACATAGCTCAGTGATAGAACAGTTACCTAACATATACAAAGTCGTGGGTTCAACCTCTAGCCTCACAAAAAGGTAATTATATGTTTAGATAGATAGTATACAGAGAGATTAAGAGAATGAGAAGAAGAATCAAGGGAGTCCGAGAACACTGTAAAACTACATTCACACACACACACAAATATGCATAATGACACATGAGTAGCATTCAAGATTTAAACATGTTGATTCTAACAGTCTTATACCCAGAACACTACATATATATGTGCCTCTGCTCCTATCTTCTGAGTATACTCTTATCAGTGTCTATTGACACTGTCTATTGGTATGCAAGTTTTTAATCTAAAGAATGCATTTTAAAACTTATTTCCTTTGTTGTTAAGGTACACTATATCTTCTTTAAATAACCTTTGATCAAAAGATCAAAAAATATAATACAAACACTCCTTGCGTGGAAGCTTTAGTGTTCTCTTTTCATTTTTGAATTATATGTAGCACTCTGTGTTTCCATATTGAAATCTAGTTAGCCAGTGTTGTTTGTCTGAAAGACCTCCTCTTCCTTACCTCCATCTCTATTAGATGGATTTTTTATCACATTTTCCTTTTTCACTGTTTTCTACATGCATACATCCAGTTTGACCAGCACCATTTGTTGAAGATGCTTTCTTTTTTTTCCATTCTATAATTTTGGTTTCTTTGTCAAAACTCAGGTGTCTTTATGTGTGTGGATTTATGTTTGGGCCTTTGATTCCATTCCATGGATCAATGTGTCCATTTTTATGCCAGTACCATGTGGATTTTATTACTGTAGCTCTACAGTACAGCTTGAAGCCAGGGATGGTGATACTTCCAGAAGTTCTTTTATCGTTTGAGTTTGTTTTAGCTATCCTGGGTTTTTTTTTTTTGTTTTTCCATATGAAGTTGAGAAATGCCTTTTCAAGGTATGTAAAGAATTGTGTTGGAATTTGATGGGAATTGTGCTGAATCTGTAGATTACTTTTGGTAGGGTAACCATTTTACCAATCCATGAACATGGAAGATCATTCAGTTTTCTAATACCTTCAGTTTCTTTCTTCAAAGTTTTTATCATACAAGTGTTTCACTTCTTGGTTAGAGTTATCCAAGATATCTTATATTATTCGAGGCTATTGTAAAAGATGTTTCCCTGATTTCTTTCTCAGTCCATTTGTTATTTATATATAAGAATATAGGAGGTCTACTGTTTGGAAGGTGAGAAGGGATTGTTTTAATTTGGTGGGGTTTATTTTTTGTTTGTCCGCTTGCTTTGCTTTGCTTTGCTTTGCTTTGCTTTGCTTTGCTTTGCTTT